CTCACGCCTGTCATCCCAGCACTTTGGGAGGCTGAGGCAGGTGGATCGAGACCAGCCTGACCAATATGGTGAAACCCTATCTCTACTAAAAATACCGAAATTAGCTGCACATGGTGGTGGGTGTCTGTAATCCCAGCTACTCGGGAGACTGAGGCAGGAGAATCACTTGAACCTGGGAGGTAGAGGTTGCAGTGAGCTGAGATCGCACCACTGCACTCCAGCCTGGGTGACAGAGTGAGACTCTATCTCAAAACAAGCAAACAAATAAAAAGAAATGAAAATTATTAGTATTCCTTTTACAGGCCTTTAATGAGTTATTAACCTATCATCGATGAATCTGCCTCTTGAAATATTTCACTTGTTGTTTTTTCAGCCTTACTGGAGTGACACAATCTGCTCACAGATTTTCCTGGATTATTTGGGGAGCTTTAAAATTTAGTCAAAATGAAAAAGCAACATGATCTCCCTCCCAGACATACATGCACACACACATATGCATGCACATGCACTCCCTAAGACCACAGTGTGCATCTTTATCTCCATTTTCTATTGACTAGATTGATTGAACTTACTAAACCATTTGGGTCATCAAAGCCTCAAGTGCTTTGGGGTAGCTAAAGTATCACAAAGTCCACTAGCTCATTAGCAGTAAACCCTAATGTAGCAAAGTGATTAGAAATAAATTATTTACTTGATGTCATTTGGTTGTAAAATCATCCTGCCCATCTATAGTTTCAGTTGCTATTATGCAAAACTGTTCTTTTAAAATTTTGCTCATTCAAAATTAAGGATTTTTGAGAATCCGATTAGACACAAAGCAAAACCAACACCTATCTGCATATCGCCATCATTAAATTCTTCAGTAATGAGGAACCCCTAGTTGGCTCCACAGAATGTTTAAAGATTGTTCCAATATTTTCAATTTGCAGAGTGGGAGAAAGAATTTTAAATTATCATTGAGTCTACTTGTTTAAAGTTGATTAGCATACATTGTTGTGTTATTTTAAAAGTTAATTTTATAAGCACAAAATACATAACTTTTATGAAAAAAGAAGAAGAAATTGGAAAAAGAATCAGAATCTGATATATACAAATAAACAGATAAAATGGATTGACAAGGGCTAGGCGTGGTGGCTCATACCTGTAATCCCAGCACTTTGGGAGGCTGAGGCGGGTGGATCACCTGAAGTCAGGAGTTCGAGACCAGCCTGACCAACATGGTGAAACCTTGTCTGTACTAAAAATACAAAAATTAGCCTGGCATGGTGGCAGGCGCCTATAATCCTAGCTACTCGGGAGGCTGAGGCAGGAGAATTGCTTGAACTCAGGAGGTGGAGGTTGCAGTGAGCCGAGATCATACCACTGCACTCCAGCCTGGGTGACAGAGTGAGACTGTCTCAAAAAAAAAAAAAAAAGGGTTGACAGGTTGGTGGGCATGGTGGCACATGCTTGTAATCACAGCTACTAGGGAGGCTATGGTGAGAGGGTTGCTTGAGCCCAGGAGTTTGAGTCCAGCCTGGGAAGCGTAGCAAGACCCCATCGCTAAAAAAGGAAAATAAATAAATAAATTGACAGATACCAAAAAAAAAAAAAAAAAAAAAAAGGCGGGGGGGAGGAATGTATGTAATGGTGTGCTGAGGCTACTCTTTTGGACTGTGGGTTCATATGAAAAAAAAAATGTTCTGGGACTGAGTAATGAATCACTATTGAGAAGTCCCTTATAGGGTTACATAAAACTATTTATATCCATCTTTACAGTGGCTGGAAAGAGATCTGGGGATAGATAGTTCAGTTGCTTTGGTTTTTTGTTTTGTTTTGTTTTGAGACAGAGTCTTGCTCTGTCATCCAGGCTGGAGTGCAGTGGTGTGATTTAGGCTCACTGCAACCTCTGCTGCCTGGGTTCAAGTGATTCTTCTGCCTCAGCCTCCTGAGTAGCTGGAATTACAAGTATGAGCCACCATGCCAAGCTAATTTCTGTATTTTTAGTAGAAATGGGGTTTCACTATATCGATCAGGCAGGTCCTGAACTCCTGACCTCAGGTGATCTGCCCACCTTGGCCTCTCAAAGTGCTGCGATTACAGGGGTGAGCTACTGTGTCCAGCTAGTTGTTTTGGTTTGGTTGACTTCACTTCTTGAACAAATTTGAGGGTGAAACAATCACAAATGTTTCTCATATTTTCTGAACAAAAAAGTGAGATGTTAGCACTTTTTTTTTCAATACTATATCTACCATTATAGCATCTGTTGGGTAGTCTTAATTTCAAGCCTTCTAGAAAAAGCAGTATATTCTGATTTGAGAGTTTCTCCCACATGGTAAAAATAAAATGTGAAATTTCAGTAACTGGCATGAAGAATTTTAGTAGTACTCAGGAAGTTTTCAGAAACTAGTGTTTTCATAATATGGAAGTTTCGATGTTTTGAGGTTCGGTAAATTATGAGTATACAAGAGTGAAGTCTAAATTACCCATTCAGAAGGGTAACCCTATAGCCCACATGTCTGGATTCATGTATGCAGATGGACAGATACACTTCATTTCTCCTGGGAAGTTGAGCTCTAAAAAGCTATCACTCAGAACAGACAGTTTTATGATTGCATGAAAAGAAAAGGAAAGACGACAAAGTTGCTATAAAAACGAAAGGCCTTTTGGAGTATTAACAGCTGAAAACATTAAGATTTCAATGAAGAAACAAAAATCAGCGTAAAACTGCAAATTAAAAAACAAAAGAAAAGAAAAAATCTGTGCAGAGGGTTTGAAGCATATGGACACCCACCCAGTTAGCAATGAGGGCAGTGGGAGCCCCAGACTTTAACTTATTAAAGATGACCTTTCCCCTCTCTAAAATTTCAAAGCTGACGTTTCAAGTGCTGAGCAGACTGTGTGCCATATGTAACATGACCTCAGCTCCACTCTGCCTGAGCACTGATGGCATCACTAATGAGAGGTGAAAGGTCCTTTTCTTGCAGCTTTTTCAGAAATCCACCAATTCTTGCCTGTGAAGTAAGGCTCCTCCCTCTTCTCTCTTGGTTTCAAGAGAACTGCATTTAATACACAGCCTCAAAACACTTTTATTACCGTCAATTTGCTTATAGCCATAGCCAAATGGCAGGATGTACAATCGCATGCAGAAGAAAATATTTATTTTGACTCAGAAGGCAAAGGGATTAAGAGAACATTGTATTAACTTTGCCTTTCATCTATGTTTTAAAGGGAAAGTCACCCGAGGCATCCATTGAAGTTCTATTATTTAATAAAGAGTATCAGAGACTTTTAGGACACCAGGTGTGTGTTTAACTGAGGGGAGGAAAGAAAGGGAAGAAGCTACATGAGAGAGAAAAGGCAGTTTTCACAAAGCTGCTTCAGAGACTGCAAAAAGATGTATGTGCTGGAATCTGTTACAGGCATTCCTAACAGCCAGCCTCCTCTACCGTCCCCCCACAACCTTTTTCTGCTGCTTGGAAACAAAATAGCTTTTTTTCCAAGCAGGTTGTTATCATATTCATGGCATGGTCAATTTCCGTTTGCCAAGAAAACATTTAGGCTGATCAAAGAAATAAGAAAATCGGCTGAATAGAAACAGACGTTCCCACAAGAGAAGCGTCTCTCAACGTGAAGAGGCAGGCGGACTGCAGCCCACCCAGTTACTCCTAGGAAATAGTTCTCCTGCCAAAGGCGGAACTACGAGGCCACCTGGATTCTGCTTGAGGGGCTACAGAAGAGTCAAGACTTCCAAGGAAATTCAAATAGAGACTGGAGTTTGAGGCGCTCTGGCGGCAGACGTGCGATCGGTTCTACTATCTATGTACAAGCCAAGAAGGCCTTTAGCTATGGCCCCGAATCCAGAGCGACCTTTCAAGACAGAAGATAAGTGAGTCTGGGATCCTTTTGTTTTGTTTTGCCTGGTTTACTACGCTCATGGAAAGGCAAGAGCACATTATCCTGGGTAGGTGACAGAGAAATAAGTACTTTTGGAATGGAGCGATAGCTGTTTCACCCGAATTAATACAAGTTCAGGTGTTTATTTATTTATTTATTTTGATGTGTGGATTGGGGTGGAGAATGGTTGATGGTTGTCTTTGGGACCTTATTGGTCTCTGCGTGTGCTCCCCGGCCAGCTGGTCACGGTAAATGAGAGGGTCCTCCATCTCTTCGCTGTTCCTGGGCAATGCTCGGCCAAGCTAAGTCAACTTGCAGCGCTTCGACGCGAAACGACTGGCTGAGGTCGCAGCTCCCCGCCGCAGGTTCCACGAAACCGAGAAGCCCGCTCGGCTTAAAGAAAGAAGATCCCGATTCCCCCGCTCGCCTTGGGCAAATTGGGGTACCTCATTCGCCAGCGAAGCGTCGCTGTCCTTATCCCAACGCCTCCAGTTTTTGGAGGGAAAAGTGAGAGAGGGATGGCCCTGAAAGAAGGCGACTATGGGGACAACTAAAGAAGCCAAAGAAAACTCCCTCCTAGCGAGTCCCGTCCTGGGCTACGTGGCGCTGGCGAGGCCAAGGTGGGCCGAGCGGTCCCCGGGCTTTGGGCCGAGAATCCGCTCAGCTACCCTAGCCCCTTCCCGCCGCGGGCTCTTCACCCCGGGGGCTCGGCCGGGCAGATTTTCCTTTCTGTTTGTTTTTTTTTCGTTTCGGTTCTTGCCGGCCTGGCGAGAACTCCTTTGCCAGGAAGACAGCGCCCTCTTTCTCCTCCGGCCGCGACGCCGCCAGCCTACGCCGGCTGTCTGTCTGCTTCACTGACCTCTCCGCGCCTCCTGGTGGTCCCCGCCCTCCAGGCCCCGGCCCTTCTTTCCTCACGCCCTGACGCCTATGGGCCTCACGCAACGCCGGAGAAAACAACCCAAGAGAACAGAGGGCAGGGGCAGAAGCCGGCTCGCGTCCCAGCCCTCAGGCCCGCCCGGCGAGATAGAGCGACCTTTGGCTACAAGCCTGGGCAGAGCCAGCCCCGGCGCAGACGCGGCGCCCGAGAGCTCCCGCGCAGCCCGGGGGAGGGAGTTTCTGGCGCAGGCGGCGGGGCGAGGGGTGAGGCCCAGCTCCTCGAGACCCCGCGCCGCGGCGAAGCCTCCCCGGCGCCCGCGCGCGGTTACTTGGCTGCGTGCACGCCCCTGGCACAGCGGCTTATACTGAGGCCCAGGATCAGCCCGCGAAATGTGGACCCGGTCCTGCACGCGGGGTGATAGGTGAGGGTGTCGGGTGAACTTGAGTAGAGGTAGGGAAAGAGCTTACGGCCTTCTTCCAAGTCCTAAAAGCGTCCCTCGCAGTCCCCCTGCTTGCTGGCAGCCTCACCCTGCTGGCTTCCAGGAGGGCTTTGCCAAGCACTGCAGCGGTGTTGGAAACCTTGTCGCAAAGTCCAAGTCTAGGCGAGTGGTCGAGACGCGCGGAGGGGCATGGGTGAATGGGCACCTTTCCAGCACCCGCTACCCTGTATCCCTTTTCCCACTGCTCAGAGGACTGGTGATTCAGACAAATGCCGCGCGGCTCGTTTGGGAACAGAGGCAGTGGAGCTTCTGTCCGCGAAAATCTGGATCCTTTAGAGCCCAAACAATATGCTCGTGTGAGAATGCAAAAACAGATCCCACAGCGTGGATACGCACCGACAGAGGTACAGGCCTGAAGTGCTCCCACCCCCGAACTCCTACCCGCTCCTGGGAGCCACAGGGGTAGTTCGCTTTCAGCTGACCCTACTGCGCAACGCAGGCGGCTCCCAGAAATGCACTAATTGAGTCACAAACCACTGGTCGCCAGGAACAAAGCGATCCATCTCAGCAGCTCAGCGCCCAATTTGTCCGCAGCACTTTCTTCCGCAATTCAGAAGCATTATCTTGTTTTAAAAAGTATCACGGCAGAGACGTGGCAATTATCCTGAGCTCGGGTTACACTAAATGGCTTAGGCTGAGAAATGGAAGAATACAAAATGCCGCGAACGTGCAGATTGCCTCGCTGCCGAGCCTGGACGGGGGTAGGTGAGGCGAACTAGAGCTTTTGGCAGGGGAGAAGGGAGGCAGGCGCAAGTTCCCACTCGTGATCGTCTCCGAGTGGCACCACCGAGAAAGGAGTGTTGGCCCTTTATCTCTAAAGGCTAAGGATTTCCAGAGACGAATCCCCAAAGGTCGAGGGAGAAGAGGTCATATCCCAACCTGACCAGGCCAAGCTTCTGGTCTCAGGGTCTGGGTTTTGGGTCAGGAACAGGTTGGGAACTTCAGGCACTGCTAGGATGAGGAACAGGAGAAAGGTCAAGGGTTAGTAAATGAGATGGGGAGAGGGGCGGGACGGAGATTCAGGTCTCTCTTCAGGACACCCACTCCGCAATTGGGGAAGAGGAAAGCACGGGAAGAAAACCACCCGAAGGAAAGAGAAGCTGGCTCTTTACAATGGGAGAAGGCGTTTACTCCTGAACCAGGGGCAGGCCTGCGCCTGGGTAGACGCTGTAGGGTGGGAACGCTCGATAAATGGCGAGAGTCCCAGAGACCACCAGGCCTTTCTGCACCAGGAAAAAAAAAAGTCTGCTCTAAGAATCTTCATCTCGGTCCACCAGGGTGAGTTTGGGCCTGGAAAATGGGGAGAAAGAAAAGAGAGTAACGAGGTTTTCGGGTGGCGGCGCCCTGCGTGCAGACATCTGCTCTCCCCAGCCGCCCAGCCTGCTGTGGCAGCCACGCTGTGCGCAAGTGTCTTTATCCTTCAGCTCAAACCAGCCCCCACATCTTGAAGTAATCAGCAGCCGAGAAGAGACTCGTCCCCCTGGCATCTCAGGTTAAAGAAGGAGGTCCAGGAAAATGTGGTAGAGCCATTACAAGAAACCCGAGCCGCAGTCATCAGGGACTCCAATTGCCATCGCATTAGGATTGATTAGAGACCAGCAGTACCGTAATGACCCGGAAAGAGGGGCAGCCGGGGATTATTAATATCAGAACGGAGGGAGGGAGCAAAATGGGGAGGGAGAAGTTTCAAATTACTAGGATTTATATGTAAGTCCAGGTTTACCTGAGGAAACCAGATAGTCAGTGAATCACGCTAACGATAAATCTAATTGCATTTCAAATTTCACGAAGCCTGATTTTTTGGAGAGTGGAGTAAAAGCATCATGAAAACCAAGCCAATATCTTAGTTTTTATAAACACGTAGTTTTATAAGTTTATTGTAAGAATCCAAGCGAAGAGATAGGGAGGGGCGCTAAATGCCTGCTTTCCTTATCATTGGGCCTCCTTACCATTTGGACTTCAAATAGCTTGATTTTTTTGCTCGTGGGAGTGCATTTTTGAGTCGCTTTGGTTCTTCCCTCCAGCGATATGGGGCAATGGAGTGGACATTTTTTTTTTCAGAGCGTCCAGAGGAGGAACAAACCAAAATGTAAGTGAAGCAGTAATACATCGGTAGTGGTTTTTGTTTTTTGTTTTGTTGAAGACGTGAATGATCAGGATCCCAAGGAGATGTGTAGAAGAGAGTGGTTTGTCTCCTTCCTCCAACTATGAGCCAAAACAAATCAGCCCCTGATGGTCCGGGCTGAAATGTAGCTCACTGGATAATTAACTCCATCTTTCCAGTCCACCCTAACTGTTTATTTAGTGTCACCCTGCATTACCGTCACTAGCACTTTCCTCTGAACAGGAGGAGCTGCAGGCTTTCACCTCCCAAAAGGAAATTCTTTTTAGCTTAGACAGATGTGGTATTCAGGATGTACATAAGTTGAGAAAAAAAGTTGATTGAAAATTCAATGGAAGATAAGCAGTTTTGGAGAGTTTCATTTCATAAACCTACCCTAAGGAGATATTTTTAAAAACAGGGAATGGGGGACGGGGCTCAGAGTCCCTTCAATTCTTAAGAATTGATTCATGTGACATCCCGGCTCCAATTTCCAGAAAGGTAGTTGGCATATGATGTTGAGTAGGGTCTTTTAGCTCAAATCTGGCGATTGGTCAGAGCTTTCTGAGAATGCAGCTGGTCAGTCCTTTTCTCAGGTGGCCAATACACCTTTGCCGGCCCTCCCTGAGGGCCATGCCATCTATTGCTAGCCCTCCACTCCCTGTAAAAGGTCCTCGCCCTGCCGACTACAGCACCCAGACTTGAGGGTCTATTCTCAAGAGAACCTACCAGCGCTGCCTCAGTGGGTGATATCAGCACACTCTGTGGAACCTCACAGTGCCCAGTCTTGGAGAGAAAGAAATGAGTGCCAAGGGGGCGAGGGGAGGTGGCCGAGAAGGGAAAGGGGGGGAAGGAAGAAGAAAGAGGAAGAGGAAAAACAATGAGGAGGAGAAAGAGAGGAAGAGAGAGGTAAAGAGAGAGAATGAAAGAATGAGAAACGGGTTCACATACAGACAATGAGCGAGCGTTCTCTTTCAGATGGAGAAAAGAGTTAGAGACACACTCTAGGAGAGACTCGCCGCGGGGCACACGTAGAGCGAGAGAGAGGATAACTCCGCCAAAGACAGTTCTGTTCCCCTCCAATTTGAGCTCCCTCCCAGCGCTTGACACTCAGTCAGTCCGTCAGTGGGTCTGTGTATCTATCTCTTTCTCCCTTCCCGGACCTCGAGACAATACGGAGATGGCATTTTAAGGAGCCGCGCGGGGCAGCAGGGTTTTCAGCGGCAAGCCTGGCTCGCAGCTGGCTCTGTTTGTCCAGGTGTGGGAGGTGGGGCGGGCCCGCGGTCGCCCAGAACCTTGGGCCAGCGTAGCGTTTTCGCACCAAGGAAGTGGGAGGCTCTGCTCTCGAGCTTCCCGCTTCCAGGAAAAAACGTCCTCCCTCCCTCCATACATAAATGCACTTGGGGAACAGACAAATCCTCATTGTTCAGAAATAAGCTGAGGAGGCCCGCCTGCTCCCCTCAGCTAGGCAGAGAGAGGCAGGGAGGGAGGCGGGGTGGGGGGGGCGGCGCGCGGATCCGGTGTCACGTTGCAGATTCCCACTAAAGATAACGAAACGTGATCTATTTTTCAGAACAGCAAGTGGATGGGAAAGAACTTGACAACACAAAACTCATTTACTAATGGACTGGTTTTGGGTTTCTCTTCTCTGAGTCCGCAAATCTCTCTGCCTGGGCCCCAGGCCTATTCAGACCTCGCGGGGAGCGGCGTCCCCCAGGAGCAGGTGGGCTGCTGCTCCGGCGCCACGCCGGTCTTCGGAGCCGGAGTTCCCAAGGGTCGAGAATTTTGGCACTTCAGCCCGGACTTGGGGAGTCTCCGCACTGCCCCAGAGCGATGACACTAATTTATTGAAGAAACACCTCTCTATGCCCTCCCCTTCCAAATATTTGTAGGTAGAATAGGATCCTCACCGTCGTTTTGGATGGTGAAAGAATACCAAGAAAGCGGCCAGGGAGCCCCCAAGTATCTTGCTCCAAGCCAGAAGGGAAACAACAGGGTCCCAGCTAGGGGTGTTTGCATCAAGGCCTATGTCAACCCAGCCTAGAAACCCTAGCAACTGCTAATGCTATCCCATTGAATGCTTTTTCATCGGCTAATTATACGCACACGGCCATTACCTGCGCAGAGGAGGCACTGAAGAGCCAAAACCCAGCATCGGCCGCTCCTTGCCAGGGGTGTTCCCTCCCGAGCCGCTCAAGGGTAGCAGCCGGCTGGCTAGAGTTACTTGTTACCTTTAAATTTCCAACGTATCTCTGCTTTTCGTGCGATTTGCATTGACAGCAAAGGTTTTATGTTAGCAGAACAACTCAAACCTTTCTGTGTGCGATTTAAAATGGATCATTTGGTTTAGGTGGTTTGTGAATTCATATCATTTTACCTCTTTTAGTGGTTTTCAGTGGGAGGTTCCATTTTGGGAAACCTTATATATCCGAGCCAATAATTAACATTTATAACAATTGGTTCCCCTAACCAAGGAATCGAAATAGCAGGTAGGCTCCTTGGTATAAAGTGCATAGCACTTTCCCTTTCCAGTTACGTGATCTATTGGATTAAGCGGGAGGAAAAAATGTCGGCGGGCCGAGTCACGGCCTCCGAGGAAGAGCACCTCTTCTCTTCTACCGGATTCCCGCAATCACAGCTTCTACACGTGGTCTTCCCAGTTGATGCCGATGTCTAGTACGTCCTGGTTCCTTTTGAAGACAGATAAAAAGAAGTGGGTAGGGAGGTCTGGAGGAAGGGTAGGGGGGGAAAGGTGGTCCTATTCGTGTCTAATTGCCATCTCTCTGCTCTCTGTCATCCTCTGTAAATTTATACCTGCCCTTGTTTGTCCAGGCTATGCCTCATTTCCTTATACAAAATTGTTAATTACAAAGCACACCCCACACTCAACATACTGTTTGTCTTTTAAGAGACGTGATTGTGCTTAAAGACCCTCCCCCACTGTAATTGTGTGCACTTGCTCCAGTCTTTAGGGTATTAACTGTATTAACTGATTTTTAGAGACGGGTTTAAGCCTCCGTTCCGGTCCTCACACAGCTGCCATGTCAATAAGGACTGTTCCAAGCAGAGACATTCCTTCTGGGAGGACACTGCAGCTCCTTAAGACCTCATGTGAAACATCATAAGCACTAAAATAAGACAGTGAGGGAAAATTACCAGCCACATGGCTCTGGGCTTAGCAGTGCCAGGCTTCCAGTTTAGAAAGTCACTGGGCAAACTATATGGCAGAGGCTCTTTAGAAAGAATGCACACCCATTAAATGCATTTTTTTTTAAAGCCTAAGGTAATGAAATATCAGCATCTACTTCCAACATCTAATTGCATGGAATACGCAAGAGTTTCAAGGATGCAGAAAGCATTATGTTCAGTAGAGAAGCAGCTTCCTGTGTACTTGGAATCTCCCATGTGGCAGCCCTGAGGTGGGAACCCTTTATGAGTTTAGAATATATGTTGCAGGGTGCACTGGACTGGGTGCATCATTTTAAAATCATACTAATAATAAAAGGGGAAACCCAGACACTGCTTCTCCTTCTTCCATTTGCATTTGAATATGCAAAAGTTTTGTAGTGCTGAGCTCTTTGGCTGAAGGAATCAAAACATATTTAAAGAAGACAAGCTAGTTTAAGGAGCCTACAGTTTGTTCGTCACCACTCTCTAAGAGGGCGCATTGAAATCAAAAGCATTTTTGAAGTGTACTTAGAATTCTGTTTTGAACTTATCTAATCAGAGATAAGCATAGTCATAAAGTCACTCTCCTTCCACCATTTGGCTTCCCTTATCTCCATGCATTGTTCTTATCTCCCGCTAGTCTCAGCTACTGACAATAGATTATCTTTGTTTAGAGAGGCTAATTGTTTTTAAAATCTTTTAAATAATTGCTTTGGAACTAGGTGTGCAAATGAGGCTTAAGATAATTACAACTTCATTTGTTTGTGCAGTTTTACTAAGTATTCTCCACACATAAACAAAACAGCAGATGATGGGACTTAAATTGCAGTACGTCTCTCACTCCCTGGCAGCAAAATAGGCCAGCATTGCAACACACACACACACACACACACACACACACACACACCCCTCTTTATTTAATCTTCTTGGAGCTGCTGTCGTCCTCGCTTTGAGGGCAGTGTCCCTCTCAGAGCAGGGCAAGGATTATGTTACAACCGGACGGTTATTGGAGCCTGGCACAGTTTTATTTAATTTACACCACATCCAGCGCCTTTCGTACGAGGTTCCCAAAGCATTTTTGCTAATAGCAAGTAAAGCTTCTGGGCATTTCTCAGTAGCAAAGGTGGCACTGGAAATCGCCACCACACAGATGGGGAAATTGAGTCCAGTAAAGCTTCAGGAACCTGCTGGTTTCCACTGCAGAACATTAAGATAACAAATGATGAACGCTCGGAGACTCTATGTGCTCAGCAAGAATGCTCTAAACAGCTCTTCGCCTGGTCTCAAATCATGGAGGCCCTTTGTGAACGTGGGAAACGCTGTCCAACTGCGGGTACTTGTGCCCTTTGGAGGGTGGTGTGGGGCAATGGGGGGAGGGAAGGGGAAATTGGGTTCGGCTCCTCGAGGCGAAGCCAACCCAAAAAGAAGCCACTCTTCCAGAGACTGCAAGCAGGGACCCTGGTCTACTCTTGAATTATTTATCGCGTTCCATAGCTATTCATCAATCTATTATTTATTCATTCGAACATTAAAGTAATTAAATATGAGCTCACCGGGAAAGGGCAAGTCTACAAGGAATGAGGACAAGAGTACGGAGGGAGAGGGGAGAAACGAAGGTTTGAAGTCATTGATTTGTGCGGAGTTGTGCGCGACTCCGGGTAGGTAATGCTGGCAACGGGTCCCGCCTTGCAGGGTCCTGAAGCGCTCACCCACTCCCTACCTCCCCCGACCTCCGCAGCGCAGCTCAGACCCCAACTGGATTCCCACCTTTCCTCTTCCTTCTCCTCCCACCACTCCCTACCCCCGCAGCCCTCGCAACACCCCCCTCCCCACCACCACCACCACCACCACCACAACTCCTAGCTCCTCAGCCTCGCCCTCCCCGAGCTGGGCGGTGCGGCCTCGCTGCCCGGCAGGGCGGTGCGCTGGCTGGCCAGCCCCGGATAGGCGCCTCCCGCAGCCAATCAGCGTGCCGGGGACGCTGCGCGCTTTAAGGCAGCGGCCGGGAGAACAGAAACCAAGTTCCCCGGCAACTAGCAGCATCCACCGGGCGGGAGGTCCGAGGCAACAAGGCCCTAAAGGCTACTGAGTGCGCCGGCGGCTCCTTGTTCAGCGCGTCCCCTACTCTTCTGCCTCCTCCTCCTTGGCCGTCCACCTCCAAATTCCGACTCGGATTTTCGCCTTTGCAAAGCCTAGGGAGGAGGTTAGGAACAGCCGCGCCCCCATCCCCTGCGGCCGCCGCCCCCTGCTTCTCGGCTCTGCGCCCAGCCGCGTGCGCCTGGGCCGTGCGCCCCGGCAGGCCCCAGCCATGTCGATGCTGCCGTCCTTTGGTTTTACTCAGGAGCAAGTGGCATGCGTGTGCGAGGTTCTGCAGCAAGGTGGAAACCTGGAGCGCCTGGGCAGGTTCCTGTGGTCACTGCCTGCCTGCGACCACCTGCACAAGAACGAGAGCGTGCTCAAGGCCAAGGCGGTGGTCGCCTTCCACCGCGGCAACTTCCGTGAGCTCTACAAGATCCTGGAGAGCCACCAGTTCTCGCCTCACAACCACCCCAAACTGCAGCAACTGTGGCTGAAGGCGCATTACGTGGAGGCCGAGAAGCTGCGCGGCCGACCCCTGGGCGCCGTAGGCAAATATCGGGTGCGCCGAAAATTCCCACTGCCGCGCACCATCTGGGACGGCGAGGAGACCAGCTATTGCTTCAAGGAGAAGTCGCGGGGCGTGCTGCGGGAGTGGTACGCGCACAATCCCTACCCCTCGCCGCGTGAGAAGCGGGAGTTGGCCGAGGCCACCGGCCTCACCACCACCCAAGTCAGCAACTGGTTTAAGAACCGGAGGCAAAGAGACCGGGCAGCGGAGGCCAAGGAAAGGTACGCGGCGTGCTTCCTGCGACTCGGGTGACCCTAGGAAACCTTCCTTTCCCCTCCACCCCCTCCCGCCACCGCAGGCACCCGCCACCAAATCCTCACCGCTGGCCGAAGCCCATCCACCGGGCGGCGCGCAGGCTTCCGCCGCGCTGCTGCGAAAGTTCATGAACTCTGAGGTTCCTTGTGAAGGTTGGGGCCTCATTTGCTTTGAGCACCCGCAAGTGGGTTTCTCTGGGATGTGAGTGTCGGGAAATACTGGCGCTAGGTTTGTTTTCCATGCCTCCCTGGCTGGCTGCGGCGGGGAGTGGTGGGTGGAGAGTGACTTTCTAAATCAATGGGCAGGGAAGCGTTGATTGGTGTCGCAAGGAAAGAGGTTCGGTGGGAGCTAAGGTTCGCGAACCTCTCTCCTCTTCCTCCCCGGAGGGGTGAAGCTGGCCTGAACATCGGCCCTGCCCTCACTCCCGCCCGGTTTTACACGGCTCTCTCTTGATAGTCTTTTGAATCAGAGGTCGCCTGCTTCATTTCTCTCTAACTGGACAAAGGGAGGAGTCCTTTAAAAATACACTGAAAAGAGAGCTTTGGGGAGAGGTGGCGCTGCATTTACTTCCCGGAGCCCCAAATTCAGAAAGGGTTGATTCTCGCAGTGTTCGCTCGCTCGTGGCCCGGCGCTGCAGCCGGGCGGTCTGGCTGTCCGCGCCGCCTGCCCAGACGAGGAAGTGATCTCCAGTCGCAGCCTTCTCTCGCACTGGAGCTCAGAAGGCAATATTTAAAAAATTGGTCTCTAACTTCCCCCACCTCAGGGCAGCACCTTCGTCACCTGGCCAGGCTCCTTCCGTTCTCTGTAGAGTTTCCGATAGAGATTCAGAAGAACGGTGGGGAGGTGGCTGTGGCGGGGAGAGCGCTCCGCGAAGCCAAAGAGTTTGGGGGAAACCTGAGCGCAGGGGCCGGTTAGGTTCCTTTGTTTGCTTCCAAGCCTGGGGCCCGAAGGTCTTGCTTCCTTTCCTCTCTGGGTGGAAAACCACAGAGCTAGGATAAATTCAGCTGAAATGGGCTGGCCGGGAGACAGAGATTGTGAGGATAAGGGAAAAGAAAGGAGGAGACAGGCGCTAGGAGTCGGGAATACGGGGCAAGCACTCGGAAGGCGAAAGCTGCAAGAGCAGCGAAATCCTGAAGTTAACCCGGACCGAGTGCCGGGACCTCGCCCGCTAGCAGCCTGTGCCGCGCGACGGTTTCCCCTGCCCAGAAAGGATGAGTTGCTTTGGATGTTGGTAAAAAGTTTGAGAGGGGGTGACAAGGGGCTGAAGAGTTAGCAAGTAACACAGAAACAGAGATTATATAGTTGCGGTTAGCGTTTAGTTACAAAACGGCCGTCCTGTAAGTCAGGCCATAGGGCCGACTCCAGATGAAATCAGAGAGACTGGCTGCGCTCCTTGTGTTTATTCGGTCACTGGGCCGCTCTGGGCACCACTTCCCGTGACCTGTCCTGTGTCTGCAAAACCACCAACTCTGGGCTGGGGCAGGAAAACTGGATGTTTGTCTCATACTGGAACAAGGCAATGGGCTTGATTCACCCCAAACATTTGTGCATTGGACTCTGTCCTCTGTCATTTCTTTATCACCAACATCCATTTATTGAAAGATTTTCAAACTTAGTTACATTTAAACATGGTATTAGTTGATATGTATTTAAATGTAACTGCTGGAACAAAATTTAAAATGTATATTTTGTATGTTTCAAGTAAATCCTGCTAATCTATCACTTCCTGAAATCTGGAAGAGAAAAGGACCTGGCTCCTAACAGGAGGCTCTGTCCGTAGCTCTCCGTTTCTCTAGGCTCCTCTGACTTCACACCTCCCCCATTACCCTTGGGGATGGGTGGAAGGGTAGAGCTCTTCCATTTGGGTTGGTGACAGATTGCACAATGGCTCTTTCCTCCTTCCAGCTCCCCTCCCTCCATCTCACACTTTTTTTAACCTTTTTTTTTTTTTTTTTTTTTTTAACCATATGGTGTTGTCCTCTATTTCTTAGGGAGAACACCGAAAACAATAACTCCTCCTCCAACAAGCAGAACCAACTTTCTCCTCTGGAAGGGGGCAAGCCGCTCATGTCCAGCTCAGAAGAGGAATTCTCACCACCCCAAAGTCCAGACCAGAACTCGGTCCTTCTGCTGCAGGGCAATATGGGTCACGCCAGGAGCTCGAACTATTCTCTCCCCGGCTTAACAGCCTCGCAGC